CTCTTTCAAGGGATTCAAAGATACTAAGCTTCATGGGTAGCATGTTTGACACACAAGTCACTATCAAGCTGTTTTATCATCTGTCCACTGCTTGTATGGGTCCACTTCAACCCGGGCCTGGCTTGACTCAGCTCTGCATTTGTCCTCCTGTTAGCAGTTGTCATCCTCCAGGATGTCTGGGTGTTCCTCCCAGAACTGGTCCCCTATAATGTCACAGTGGTAGGCCTGCACCCTCCTCCTGCTGCGAGTCACGGGCACGTCCTTCTCCTCTTCATTTGGCAGCTTCATGCGTTTAGTGACAGTTTCGTCTCGCTGCACGCAAAGAGTGAGGAATAAAATTTGTATAAGTTAAGGTAAGCTAACGGCCTCCTAGATGTAGTTTCATATTAAACAGGCAGCTATGAGAGTGGTAGCAATCTTTTTATACAACTACAGAAACAAGCCATCTTTTACACTTAAGCGCAATTTAACACACATCTTGCATTTCTGACTTTCTGGTTTGTTAATGTATTTTTCTTGTGAACAACTAACCCACAATACAATGTCACATGCAGGCAATGTATATGCAGCACTGTTGCAATAGAGTCCTGTAAAATTTACAATAATGCAGACCACTTTTTGGAGCATGCCACAATTTCTAAACCTGCCAGGCAGATTATTATTTTTTTATTCTTTCATTTGATATGGTATAATGATCTACTAATAAAAACTTGGGACATTGCTTAAGATATGTATTCCTATATAGTGAACAATTTGTCACCTTTATTTTTTGTCAAGCTACATTGTTGGCATTTGGTAACGCAGGACGAGCAGGGACGTGTTGAAAAGTCTATCTTTGAAGCAACATATCTGAAATGTATACATCAGCTGCAGAATGGCAACCATTTTAATGCAACAAAGAATTGAATGGACAAAAAGGCTGTCAATGCAGCGATGTTGGAGTTTTGAAAGTGTTAACGCAAGCAATGACAATGAAATAGCTTTGATCCAAAAAACTGACAATTCTACTTTTAGTAGATGAACAGGCAGAAAAGAAATTTCAGCTTCCCAGAATATCAACAGGAAATTTCTGTTTTGCAGTCGAAACCACAAACTGCAAACAAGTGCACAAAGCTTTCCAGACTCAACATTTTCTGCAAATGAAAATGTCAAACAGCATAGGAGTTATCCAATCGAGTTTTTTTCTGTAATAACTGTGCAGACTCAAACCCCTTTTAGCAGCTTACTTTTTCCCAGATGAGAGTGGTGCCTTTCTTGTGGAGGGCAGATTCATTGTTGTAGTTGATATCAAACTCAGAGAACAGGATCTCATTTTTGTCTGCAGCTAATGTTCCCTAGAAGGAGACATTACACGGTTAGACAAATGCATGCATAATAACATGTGTGCATACAAAAATCAGCTCATAGGAGATGCTTCACTGGGTGTAGAGACCCCACTGGTTCTTCTATTGTTTTATTGTTTGAATTAGGAAATAAATTGATGCTATTATATTTGATTTGGGCATTTTTTCCTGCAAAGAAATGTTTATATAGTGATTAAGGACATAGGAAGCACAAAGGTTTGATGGGCTGTGAATGACTCATGTTGCCGAAACATCCAGCCAGAATAAACGTTTCCACAACTCGTCAGCTGTCCTCACATCATCAGAGTTCACTTCACAGGCCACTGGATTGACTTCCAGAGAACAGCTGTGTCAGTCAGCGGCAGCTGCCACAAACAGAAACAGACCTGATGTTCTATAGAAAGATGTTACCGCTTCTGTTGAATTAGATGTTATTATTACCCTGTGCATCATTGTAGGTATTGCATTTTGATCATCACATCCAAAACTGAGAGGGGACAACAAACTCATTTGTGGTGTTAAAAACCACATCATGTCTAATGGAAATAAACCAGAAGTAAATAATGTGGTGACCATGTGAATGCACACAAAAGACGGGCCAACGAAACCCACTCACAACTATACATGCAACTGCAACCTTAAGAAAATCTTGGTAACAACAAAAAGTTAAATCAAACTTTACAGAAGTACTTTTAATCACAAAAAGAAAATAATATGATACAGAGGCAGTTGAAATTTAAGATACACAAGTTGGAACAAAAGCTGCGATAAACTATAATATTCACAAACTGATTATGTTTTAGGTTAATTGACTCATCATTTAAGATGACAAAAAGTCAAAACTAATGATAATCGACCATCGAACCTTATCAGATCCCAAAGTCAGCACTCAAATTTAAGGATGTCCTGTTGGGCCAAAGTTTTCAAATTGTTTTGTTTTGCCAACAGTTAAACACACAATAGTATCCATCCATCCATCCATCCATCCATCCATCCATCCATCCATCCATCGTCAACCGTTTATCCTGCGTACAGGGTCGCGGGGGCTGGAGCCAATCCCAGCTGGCATCAGGCGAAAACACACAATAGTATTCAATTTATAATGACTTTAAACGGAGAAAAGCTTGCAAATATTTAAAAATGCAAATGTTTGGTCTATTTATGCAATACGATTGTTAATATTGTCATTTATTTATTTCTTGTCAAGTGACTGACTGACTGACTAATCACCTAATTCCTTCACCAGGAATAATCAGTATGAGAGAACTGTTAGTGTCCATCACAAGGCAGTGGTAAGGCATCACTCTTTGATGTGATTTACAAGTAAAAACACGCAGTACACAGAGTAGTATTTGTGCACCTTTGGAGAAGTTGTATCTTATCTGTAACAACATTGAAACATTAAATAAAATATAGCTATGTTCTATGCTTTATGTTGGGAGATGCTCTGGAGATCAGGCTGATTGCACAAACCAGTCATAATAATTTAAAAATTCAACAATTAAGTAAATTTATTGGCTTTATTTATTATACAGAATTGAACTTGGTAACTGGAATCAGATGTACCTGTGCTTTGGATAAAGCTCTCTGGACTAAATGTCAGATGATCATGAATAAAGTGTTATGTCTGAATAAATGTATACATGTTTTATAACATCTAAATATGCAGGTGTTTACTCCTTATTGAACTGTTTATTAACTTTTAAAGATGGTATTGTTTGTCTCTTATTCTATTATTTATGGAAATTCAAAAAGAATAACAGCAAACATTTTAAGTAACTTAAGATTGCGTTTCGCTCTCACCTTTAAGCGATCCTCTGCTTGGGCTGTGGTGAGTCCTCCATTCTGTACTAATGTCCAAAATACTGTGTTGTACAAATTATTAATGTGACCTGAGAGACACAAAAACACATGTACAGTCGGACATCTTTAACTCTCTTCAGCTTAATGAACAACAATGAATCTAGAAGTCTAATGTGTGAATTGTTAAGCAGCTAAGAGCACAGTATGTTCTTACAATCTGCTTGCCTCCAGCTGAGGTAGTCTCTGAGGTTGCGGTTGCTCGGATACAGGACCACACGTCCATCAAAACCTGGGGGGTACAAGAGGGGCTGTTCCCCGAAAAACTCCTTCCAGTAAAACACATATGAGGAGGAGAACTGGGAGGCCACATGGGTCATGAGCTTACTGCCAGACGAGAAAGAGGGGGAAATAATATCAGACAAAAGAACATGCACGTGTGAGAAGGACATTGGTTTGTAGTGTGGCAAAACCTAAGTACCTGGCTCTCCTCTTAAACAAGGTGGAGGTCCTCTTGAAAACAAAGCTGAACTCATCACTTTGACCATAAGCGATGACAATATCCTCGAGTTCTGCCATGACAGAGCGTGCACTCTGGGTCATCAGGCCCAACGCCCTGTTATCATTGGGCTTTGTAAACTTGTGCTGCTCTGCAAACCTGAAACAAAATCAGTGCAGACACTCAAAACAACAGCATGGTTTCTAATAATGCATAAACCGATCACTCATGTCTTCAGAGATGACAGGTGTGTAGCATGGGAAGGAAACTCACTTGTGGAAGTTGCGCCCATCCAGTCTCACAACAATGTAGCAGTTTCTTAGACATGTGTCATCTGTTTCAAAGTTGCGGACGTACTCAAACTTGCTCTTTGCCATGTTGCTGGAACTGGTAAAAAGACGGACCAAGGATTTGACTACGCAAGACCTGACACGTCCACCAAATCTGCAGGCTTTTCCAATCAGCATGAGGGAGCTATAGTAAGACAACACATTCCCAAGAAGAATGGAGTGGGAATATTTTCATGCAAAACAGGAGCGCAGCAATAAAATAAAAACACACAAAACAAAAGGACTTACACTTGGATGTCATATGTGGTGTCCCCTGCACCTAACGTGGCAGTAATCCGTGAGTTAGCTAGCCCAGTTGGAAGCGCTAATATCTAGCTATTTCGTTAGCTACACAAATATCAATGTATTTAGTACGGTTGGTAAGCTGCACGAGCGCTGTTATCAATTGACATTTACATTTATTCTAAGACAATTTTCAGGTCACGCACACGCTGGTTTGTATACAGTCCGTCAACGAATTCTGTCGTAGTAGTACCGCAGACACTACGGACACTGGTTCCGGAGCACAAGCCTGCATTTAGCAAACAATGCATTAAAAACAAATAGGTACTTGTTCTCAGTTTCTTGTTAGCCCTCTTGAAAAAAACACATTCATATATTAATTTCTTCTTGTATTACTGCATGTGATTATCTATTAAGGCAAACATATTTACATAGAAAATACCGACATGCTCTGTGTTTTAACGCCATCTGGTGTTTTTGAGAGGGGTACTGCGACCAAAGATCGTTTGTGAGGATGATCTTACGGAATTTATAGTCCAGTTGCAGGCTAGGCTATTTCCTGAGGGCGTTCGTTGTTCTTTTAGTGTGTATACATAAGTGAGCGTTACTATAAAATTATTATGGGAAATAACAAATAACGGGATAAAAAACCCGACGTTTCCAGGATTTAAAGGCGCCACTTGACTTGACTGACATGACATACTCTATGTAGTCTATGACCTTTAAAGTCTCTTGAATTAGGCGCAGAGTGAAAGCTCAGCGTCATCCGACGACAACTACTTTCCCAGGATTCCTTGCTGCACTGTGTGCTCCTCTGCGGTTGTTTCAAACATGGAGGAGAGGGAAAGAACTAATATTAAACCAGACCTTAAAGAAACGGCAGCTGCAACCTGCTCGAGTGCGCCAACAGTACCGGAGCATGAACCGGAGACAGAGCGTGAAGCTGGGGACACTGACGCGGCTAAAATAGATGTCTGCTCGGAAAGCTTCGACCCGCTCTTGGCCTTGTACTCGCCGACTGTACCGCTTCCTTTCCCAAATATCAAGTGCTTCAACAATGTGTCAGAGTACGAGAGCTTTCTGAAGGGCGGCCGGGGAAGAGCCAAGCCGGAGAATGTGGAGAAAAAGCGGCAGAAGGCGATGAAAGGGGTGGCGGACCCGGAGCGCATAGAAAGGCTGAAGAAGCTCATGGTGAACAACCCGGTGCCAACGGAGGAGGAGGGGGAGAGCAGCCGCACCCCGCAGAGAAAGAGGCAGAAGCCACAGAAAAATGTCTTGTCAAGGATGCCCTGTAAGTTCAATAACCACTAACTACAGCATCAGTACATGTGTTTTGTTAGGAGTTCATTAGAGGGACCATTCAGTGGAATACTTTTGAATGTTTGGGATTAGTTTGATAACATGCTCTCACTTGGAGCCTGCAACTACTGCACAGAAGTTGTATAGTGCCTCTCACATAATAATAACGAGAATATTTTTCATTTCAGATCCTTTCTCAAACCTGAAAGTAACTTGAGCTAAGCTACCTGTGGTTTTTAAGGGATAAAATAATTATTACAATGCTTTTAAAGATGGTTGGTAAACTTGTCAATACATTTTTAGGAGTAAATGCTTATAGATATGGGATAATCATGTAAAATCCCATTAGCATTACCCAGAGCTCAGCCAACGGTCCAAAACTCAAAGATATTCACTTTACAATGGTACAAAAATGGTAAATTCTGAATATTAGGGACTAGTTTGGTCTTGCCACCGCAAGCCTCCAGCAGTTTCAATGCTCTGTTGCCTTTCTCGGGATCTCTACTGGAGGAATGTACGGTGTTCATGTTAAGTGGTTTTAAAGGTGGCGGTTGAAAGCATTGTCTAACATGTGGGTCCAGGATTTCCCCATGGGGATTCAACTGGGTTCAAATGTGGTGTTTGAGAAGGCCAAAGCGAAAGATTAACATTGTTTTTATTCTCATCAACCCATTCAGTCCCCTGTTTGGAAGCATGTGCATCCCTACACACTTTGATTTATCACATTTGTACATCATCCCATTGAGAAGTTAATTTAATTTAATCTAAAATCTGGTAGTAACTAGGGGTGGGAATCACCAGAGGCCCCACGATACGATATTATCACGATACTTATGTCACGATACGATATTATCGCGATTTTAAACATATAGCAATTTATTGCAATATTTTATCTTTTTCCCAACTTCAAATTGTGTCCCCAAAGTAAAATTCTTTTTCTAGTGGACTGAAAAAGCAATTTTATTAGTGCCAAAAAACAAACTTCTCATGTACAATTTATATAATAAAAGATCGATACTTGACATTCGTGTTACGATACGATATTGCCTTGCAAAATATCGCGATACTATGCTGTATCGATCCCCCCCCCCACACACACACACCTAGTAGTAACGTGTTTAGCCATTTTTTTGGTAGAAATCTTTTTGTGCTTCAGCTGAATTCCTTCTATAATTAATAGGCTGTAGAAAATTGTATAACCTATATGTCATGTGTTTTCAGTATGTAAAGGCAGTCCACTGGGGGAGCTGTACCGATGTGTTGAGGAGAGGATAAGGGTCAAAGTTCACATCAGGACCTTTAAGGGACTGAGGGGAGTGTGCTCCGGCTTTGTGGTTGCCTTTGACAAGTTTTGGAACATGGTGAGCTCTCCCACTCATGTTTTCACACTGAATCACTTGTAAACTGCCATATTCTGAATCTGAAATAATCCACAATCTACTTCTGACCTTGAATTTGATGCCTTTATTTTGGCCTTTCACCATTTGTTTTTATTCCTCTTTGTCAGGCAATGGTTGACGTAGATGAGACATACAGGGAGCCTCTGCTTGGAGAAGCATTCTACCATGAGAAGGCCCTCACTATTTCACGGGTAGGTGCTAGGTTTCATTGACTGAAACATATATTTGCTACTGAGTTAAAGTTACAATCTGTAAGATTTCAGTCCTAGATATAGAAGTCCATCTAAAATAATTGCAATCTGATCTGACTTCATGCTGCACATTCAATTTTCTGCAAAACAGCAGGATGCAGTAAACTTTACCTTGCTGAGGAGTTGGAGGCGTACAGCCTGTCCAATATTTAAAACTGATCCACTGTCAAAGATTACTATCGTCTTGTTTTGTAGATGCAGCGTTGAAAACAATTGCTGTCAGCGCCATCCTAACGTATATTGTTTTTCCTATGACTGCTTCACAATAAAAGCTGCCCTGTGTGTTTTTGCCAGTTAAAATACTTTCAATATGAATTAGCTGTATAAATGTTGTTTGCATTAGTAGTATCTTAATAAAGAACTTCCGATTAGGCAACCCACTCTACTTCTAAGCCACAGCCACTGCATTTGCACTCATGTGAAGGTAATTTGGATCACGTGTGGGAATGGTGGACCCGCCAATAACAATGATTACTATATAGATAGGTTATTACAGAATGTAAATTTGTGTGGCTGTTGCTGAAAAATGCTAACGGCGATGAATAGTATGGCAATAAATGGTATCTGATGGGGTTTGATTTCATATTAACATGACTGGAATCTGTGTGCAGCTCTTCGAGAAGCTGAAGCTCCAGGAGAGCTCAGCGGGTGACGAGCCAGCAAAGCGCGAAGCCGGAGAAACAGCCAGCAAACAGCAGCCTGCAAACCCAAAAGACCTGTCTGCTCACCATACTTGCAAGGGAGGGCACAGCAGGACAAAGTCCAAGCTGTCAGACACGGTTAAAACAAAACACGATAAACACACAGTCTCGCTGAAGGCCCCGGGTCCAGAGGGCTGTCAGAAGAAAGACTCCCAGATGTATGGCAAGGTCCATACACGCCACATCAACCAGCTTTTCATCCGGGGTGAGAACGTCATCCTGGTGAACCCACAGCCACTCTGATTTTTGTTTTCTGGTCGATAAAAGAAAGGTGTGCTATGACCACAATCAGTTACATTTAAGTATAGTTTTACGCTTAACATCTGATAGGTGTGAAATACTGTAGATGAACTGCCAGACAGACATGATTTAATTAGATTCAGAAGAATCAAACAAGGACTATTGTTATATCATATTGATATGGAGGTCTTTCTCTGCCCACCAGAGAAATGATCTTAATTTTGAGGAATAAAGCTTCTCAGTTCTAATTATAGTAATTTCTTGTCTTGTTCTCTTTTGTCTGACAGCCGCTAAAGGAAACGCAGGTCGACACAGCATTAGTAACTGTTTGTGTTATTGTTATTACCCAGGAGGTGGCAGCATAAACACATTAGTGCCGTCTGTGAGGCCATTGTCATCAAGAGCTTGTCCCTTTATGTTGCCTTTCCCCGTTAGTTTGAACAGGAATGACAGCGCAGTCTCAGCGGACTTCATAAATGCATTATGAATAATTGAGTTTGTGAAGCTAGAGATTGCAGATGGCACTCAAAAGCTGTCATTTGTCTTGACGTCTCAGATTGCTTTTACTCTTTAATGGCCACATTACCCATAAAAGCACAATTTACTGCATCTCATGGAAGTTGTAAAGATGCTTTTTTTTTTCTTGTTTTAAATGGCAGGGGTTACTTTTGGATGATGGTTGGCACAGAATTATTCTATGTTGCTATAACGTTTCTGCCTCTAAATCTTTGGATTTTACCCCCCCCCCCCCCCAATTTGACTGCAGAGAGTTTAATCGACCCTCTTTCTATATATTTTTATGCAATAAATAGGACAGATTCTAGCAGCTGTAGTTCATCCATATACTATAATGTTTCACATAATGTATCAGAATATTATTAGTGTAGCCCATTTAACAGTGGTGCTCTCCAGAGAGTGAAAATGGGGTCAATTGTTTAATGCAAACTGTGTTTTAGTGGTGTTTGTCACACCAGTGTGTTCCAACAAACCTTCACACAATATTAAAAGGGCACAGTGGTGAAGAGATGGGCCACAATTAGACGACACAAGCGTATTAAAGCAGAGTAATCAGGCCGTCTATCTCATTAGGACAAACTGTACATTTCATCAGTTGAATAACTATCGAAGCATGAAGGACACAAAGTAAATAGTTCTTTAAATACAACACTAGTAGCTTTTTTAAATCATTCATAGAATGCTACACAAAAGCTTAAAATAACGAAGGATTGAGATTTCTGAACATCTGTTGGGTTTGACCTCTGCAGCTGTCACAGTAAGAATCAGTCTTATTCCAGTAAAAACATGTTTGCTGTTACGCTTTCTGATCTAGTATGTTATGTAGACTGTGATGCAGTCAGCAGTGGTGACCTATGAATCTGGTGCTCACACTCATTTATCAGCTGATTTGCATGCATTAAGGGTTTACACCACCTACATGTCTTCTCTGCTTCCTGCCTTATTAATGTAATTTGTAAATGTGCATATTTACTGAAGGCCCTCCTTTATTACCTCAAACAATGAAATTAAACTCGCATCAACTGAATGTAATTTCAAAGTCAAGCGCAGTGGCTTCACTTTTGCTGCTTGAAGCTCTTTTGAATGAGGCTAATGACACAGCACACCAAATAACACACACCATTAGCAAATTTCAATCAACTGTTTAATGTTGTAGATAGATTCTTGATGTGTAAATCAAATCAAAATGGGAAGAATGCAAAATTTCATTTTCTCAAAGGATTTTCTTTTTTTAACATTTGCATAAGCTAGTGTTTCAGTAATGATCCCGTTTCAGAGAAGATCAAAACAATTTAAAGTAGAAAAAAATGAATAAAACAACCTCTACTGATATTTATTTATTTTTTTTTAAAACAGCAAACAGATTTTGGTCATTTTAATGCTTCAGACTCCGATGCAAGGCTACTATGTGTTAGTGTGCTCAGCCTCTTGAGCCCTTGGGAGACCAGGAAAGCACAAGTGCAATCCTCTTGTGACCACAGAATCCGCCGCCCTCTCCTCTAGTCGGTGAATTATTTATCCAATCGTTGACAAACCAAAGAAAAAAGGCAGGCGGCCAAGATTGACTTATCAGTCACTCATTACAAGGGTCAGGAGGCAACCATCGGCAGGCACTTGAAACACTGAAGAGCAATGTTTTGTACGTCTAACAGGTCAATCAGCCGGTGTACTTCTGAATGGGCTTGTTCGTTAGGCGCATATCCCACAACATGTTCATCCAACCACCTTAACATACTGGGCGTCCACAAACTGCGTCCTCTCACACAGTCCTGGTAAGTTGCAAAAGACACAGACATGGACTGATGACGATTATGAGAGCAACATCGTTTTCAAGATTTGCTGTTTTTAATGTGTAACATTAATAAAAAAATACAAGGCGAGAAGGCAGTATTTACTGTGACGCACCGCTGAAAATTTCACAGACAGACGCATAACGCAACCTATTAACAGTCTGTACCAACACTTGAGGTGCTGAATTAAGTTGAGCTCGATATATTTTCATCCAAGGTGTTTTTTCTGAGCTCTGGAGTTATCACTGCCCTGAACAGAGTGAAAATGATAAAATGGGACAAACAGAACAGAGTGATTGCATCTGATACCTGCACAGTCAGTACACTTGAGGCATAAGTAAAAAAACACAAAACAGGTATGTCCTTCACCTTAAGCACAGTCACATTGTCTCCTTCAAGAGGTTAACTGAAGAGAAAAGGCAAAGGTCTGTCAGGCACTCTGCTGTAATAAAAGAACCCACAACCCCTGTATGAGGCTTCTTCTACCTACTGATTATCTCATTTGGATGCAAACTGATTATAATCTTCATAAGTAAAATATATATATATAGCAATAGGAAAGACCACAAATGAGGGTCTGGTGAAGGAGAAACTCCTCAAATTAATCAATAACCTTCACACCAAACACTCATTTATTCCTTTGTAGCTTTAACAGGCCACATTTGGAGTGTGTGGACACTTGTGTACAAAGAGAAGGTGTCAATGTGCTTCGTTATAGGTCTTAATTCATATCAGATTTGGTTCTGTAAGATACAACTCTTCACACTGTCACTTCCTCTCATATAGGGCAACTTCATAACTTATTTTCCTTTAAAGGGCTCCGGATTGCTATTTACAGGCCAAAGGAAGAGCAAAGGAGGGGAAAAAAAAGAAAAAGAGGTAACTTGTCATTCTTAAATGTACATTAGAAAGTTAAAATGGCTGATCATGTTATTTAAATGCAACATTCAGCAAAATTACTGAGAATGCATCTCAAAAAAATTATGTAGCTACAGATATATCTTTTTTGCTAATCTGGTGATTTCACTTGACTGAGGTTATAAAGCAACCCCCCTCCCCTGGACATTCTCTTGGTGGCTTCCCCTCTTCTCATGGTTTCACAAGTAACCGACACGGCCATCGCCCCAGGCCACACAGATCATTGGTTCAAACAACACAAACACACATTCATTTAGATCCATATCACGACACAGCATTACTTAAAAAAAAAAAAAAAAAAAAGATTAGGAGATTGCAGGGTGTTGATATTGTGATAGATGACATTATTCAAGTACTCTTTGTTTGCAGCTCATAACAATCCTTCACCAATGGACGGAGGGAGGGAGCGAGAGAGACAGAGAGAGAAAGACTGACACCACCAGATAATCTTTGCTCTCCAGCTCCATCACTTTCCAAAGTTGCCGAAGTCAGCAAAGGCATCGTGTTTGGGCTGTTGGACCATTGCAGGGTTCATCCCCATCCCCATTCCACCGGGCATCCCCATGGTCATACCTCCCTGTGGCATCCCCATGGTCATACCTCCCTGTGGCATCCCCATGGTCATACCTCCCTGTGGCATCCCCATGGTCATGCCCATCCCCATCATGCCCTGGTTGGGGGCCATCCCCATGCCCATCCCCATTCCCATGCCAGCACCAGGATGCATCATAGGATTTACAGGCGGCCTGGCTGGTGTAGGTCCAAGGCTCATACTGGAAAATCCCTGGGAGAGCATGTTGGCAGGTACCTGGTTGCCTGGAAATGACAGAACAAACTCAATGAATCAAAGTGCCAATTTTTTAATCGTGTTCGAGTGGCGGTGTGCTTTGAAGGAGAGGCTGACTAAATTCATGCCAGATCTACCATTCCTCTCACCGTGTTGGAGCGTGTTGAGGCTGGGCTGGCTAGGCTTGGGTGGCTGGATGCCTGGGCCCAGGAAGTCCAGGCTGATGTTAACCGAGTGGTCTGACCAGGTGGAAGGGAGGGACGCTTTGGCTCCGGCATCTTGAGAGGCCACTCCCTGCTGCACAGGCTGGAGTGGCATGACAGACTGAAGACCCCCCATGTTCTGGAGGGGCGAGCAAAGACGACATACAATGTTAGAGAAAGCGCTAATTCATGCTAGAAGTCACAGAGATTTCATTGATACTTAAGCTCCAACAGTGAAATCATGTATTTCAGTAAAAAGAAATAAAATAAAAATACAGTCCCTTGTCATAGTTCATTTTTTAACCTTTTGTCTGACCCACTTAACCTTGATACTGTACTGAGGAATCTGCTACCGTCTCTTTCTGAAATCATAACATACCATCTAAAGTAACCAGAGTAGAAGTGAGTGGTGGGTGGCTTCTCAGTGAAACAGGAAGATTTTTTTTAAGTAGGTCAACAAGCTTTTAACTTGGAAAAACAGTCGACATCCACAGGCTTTTGTTGGGTTTTTAATGTTTTTGTAACTCAGAACGGATTCTTCTCATTCTGTGTGTCAGTAACAGGAGGAGTGGGTGGTTAGTGGGCTGTCTCTGAGGGGGGATGAGCATCTGGTGAGGTTCCATGTTAACCCTCTACCATCATGCTTCTCTCCATCTTTCAATCACACAAGGCATGTCTTTATCGCACAGGCATACTGACCGATAAACAAGCTTGTAACCATAGGGTTTCTATATGTACTAATTTATTTTATCTAGTACTTTTTCCACTACCACAGTCTAGCTCTGTATCCCACAACCTCTGAAATCATAAAGTGTATCATTATTTCCCTGAGGATATTTTGCTTCCACATATTAAAGCCTACTTTACGAACCTTGTAATGATATGTATATCAATAAATTATTTACAAAGGATGTGTGTGTGTGATGCGTGTGTGTATGAGTGCAATCATGCACACCTGTGACCTAGACTGGGGCAGGATTGTGGTGCTCATGCTCTGTGTGCTGCTCATGCTGAAGTTGAGGCTCTGGGACGAGGTGAGGGACTGAGTTGGCCCCATCAAGTCAAACAGGTCTGCTGAGGCAGGACCAGAGCCTGAAGCCGAGATTGGGGCGGGGGCCGGGGCAGCGGCAGGACCTGCTGCCATGGCTCCAAAAAGGTCACTTCCGCTGTTGTCAACAGTCTGAGCAGATGCTGGCATCTGACCTCCAGGGAAGGCATTCCACTCTCCAAAGTCTCCATTGCTGCTGGAGGCTGGCACTGCTGCACCAAGAAAAAAAACAAGACAGTTGAATTTTTATCTTTGCCACCCAAACAGTGATGTTTGTATTGTGAGCTGTGTAAATAATTGCAAGGTGTTGCAAAAAGCTAACTTGAACCTGTCATAGCAATTAGGAATTAACAGTTGAGTCTTCAGTGAGGCCTAGCTTTATCCAGGGCATTCTCAGTGACCGCTGGTGCCACATTTAAATTTTTTATTGAACTGGCCGAGCTTGTTGTCTCTATCCCTCCTCTCAGTCTCTCTCAGCTTCCTCCACCCCCATCAACTTCTTCCTCTGTCCCTGTCTCCTTGTCATCCATAACAGGAGTTGATGTGTGTCTGTTCTTGTTATGCAGAGCAGGTAGCAGGCTCCATATGGCCAGGGTCTTTCTCCCAGCATCCCTCTGAATATTCTAGCAGCATGGCTGCAACAGCACAGCACACACATGCACACGCAAAAAGAATAAAAGTCTTGAAACCAACCAGGTCCTTTGGAGAGGCCGACGGAGGCAGCAGGCGAGGAAAAGTCAGCAAATCCACCAATCAGGTCTGCAGTGAGAAACCGACATAAAGACATCAATTTCAAACAAGAGAGCTCCAGGTGTCATTCTACCATAGTTAGCATTCCTTCAGTGTCAGAAGTGTAGGAGAGAGGGGTGGGGTGGGGGCAGTGAATAGGTGGAGAAGACCAAACATCTGTTCAGCATTCACACCCTCTCCATTCACAAGGGACTGCTCCAAAAACATCTGGTGCACTTAGTTCCTATACATCAACTCCCTCCCCCTGCTGTCCCCAAAATCTGAAGCTAGCATCAGCAGCTGGGCACTGTTACTACAGGGTCTAGTCCTGCAGTCACTGTGGAGTTTCTTTCTTGTACAATGTTACATCGCCGGACAAAAAGGTTATTTTTGGATTTACTGCTGTAGCTTGTTGGCTAAGAATATACAACATGTAAATAAAACTTATTTGGGGCTATTGAAAGGCACATGTTTCCTTTTGCACAGAGGCTAGCTGTTTCTATGATGAAACCACAGAAATGCAATTGATACCATTATTCTCAGCTAACTCCTGGTAAGACAGCAAACAAGCACATTTCACCAAATGTCAGGGCATTACTTGAGGTTAGTGACATTATACCTGTGGCGGCAGGCTGGCTCGGTGTTGTGTCCACCATTAGTAGGTCAGCTAGGCCAGTACTAGAGGGCTGAGGGGCTGCTGGCTGAGGCTGGAATAAAGAACATATACAAAAAGATCAGGGCGCAGTGCATATATAACTATACGCATATCAATAAAGTCTTTCTTGCATGCTCATGTGAGCTCTTGTTACCTGTTTGTTGGAGGTGCTTGGGCTTTTGTCTCCTGTAAAGTTGGCTGCGGCCCCCAAGTCTACTTTCCTGGACGGGACCCCTCCTCTCTTCCGTGTTGCTGTAGTCTCTGTTGCTTGGACTATGTGTACACTCTTGGTGGTGACAGTCTCCTCTTCATCTTTGAAGTCTTTTCCTGACTGGCCATTGTAAGACGAGCGACCCCGGTCCTCCTCGTTGTCACTATGGAGACAATAACGGCTCGGGTAAGATAACTGTGTCCTTGCAAAACTGGTCAAGATTTTCTTTGCACACACTATATCCATGAAGGGACAAAAAGAACCAAGAACATGTTCAGGATAAAATCTTGTTGTTACCTACTGTAGGCACCCAAATAAATCTGTTCTTAATAATAATAATAATATAATTAAAATGTTTGAGATTTAGATTTAAAAAGCATTGCGTTTTTCTTATGTGATCATAATAAATCTTAAAGGCCCATTTACTGCTGTATTTACAAGCAGTGCTAATATAACTGAAAACTGAGTGATACCAAGTTTCATTTTTCTATGTTGACTTTTGGTGGTGGGGGTTTCACTTTTGTTCATATTTATAACATGATTTGTGCCTTTCAATATGGCGCCATATATATATATATATATATATATATATATATATATATATATATATATATATATATATATATATATGATAGGATGACTTGACTCTCCAACCTAAATCGATCTGGCGAGTCGTCTCTATCCTTCTTCCTAAATCTGCTTATGGTGTCGTCAATAGTGCTGCCGATTTTGTCGCTGATCTCCCCCAACTTCTCGCTGAAGGGGAACTGTCCTTTATTCTTCTCCCAGTCGTCGTCCCACTTTCCCCGACTATCGCTGGAGTCATACCTGTCCCCCGCTGGAGGAAAATAAAATAATAAAATAGAATAAAAGAGAAGGAGGAAAAATAATCAATTACATTTAAACCCCACATTTTTGGCCAACTATAATAAGTCTGTTTATATCACTTCCTTTAAAATGAGAACTTACAGTAATTTCGGTATCCCATACTGTCAGAGGATACCCCAATATATTTGTCTTTGTTCTTCTTTGCCTTTTTCCGTTCTTCCCTAAGCCTGTCATCATCCTGGACAAACTCCACCAACTCCTTCACCTTCTGACGCACATTTACACCTTGGTCCTTCCCATTCTCATCTAGAGACAGAGACACAGAAACACAAAGATTAACATCATTAATGAACTGGCAACTTTTTTGGTTAACTTTACAATGTATTGAAACCACACAGTAGGGCTGCCCCCTAACAGACCACCAAGTCTCTGTTGGCCAATTAGTTACAGAAAAAAAACCCAAAAACCTTAAACTCCATTCGGGAGCTGCGTCTTGTTGTTATAGCTGGGATGAAAGTATCAGAGGGACGATTGCAAGACAGACCTTTTCAGAAGTCAGGAACATGACGTTGAGTTCAGCTTAATTTATAAATCCATGTGAGCATGGCATCCTGCTTCAGTTGTAGCTGTAGACAGTTTTTTACCAGTTTCTTCATAACTTTGGGAGGATGACTATGTATATGACTTTCCTCTGGACCATCTCTGCCAACCCAAAATCAGACCGATACGATCAGTTTTGTCCGAGTTACAGTAGAAAAACGGAATTTTTACGAGGTAAGTAAAATATACAACGTGAAAGTGCTATCTGTTTTGTAAGGTAATGTTCATTTGTTGAAGATTGTAAATGTATATCATCTATTAACCTATCTGTGGCCAAAGGATCCACAAAGGTTTAATTAATCTTTGATGTTAGCCAGGGTAAAGTTGACGGAGACAGGGGAGGGCCAATGATATACTTTGTTGAAATGGTCGTTAACAGGCAGCTTGTGCGGTTGTAAAATTTTATTATGGTTTTGTATTTCTCTGTAATGTAGTACAGCGTTAACAAAGTAACATTCTGACTCAGCCCTGGAACCCAAAGCGTTTTCTGATGTCTCAAAAATAAATATTTAAATAATTAAATTAATAATAAACATGCCAATGACTAGTCGACTAATGGCTTAACTAACAGTTACTAGTCCTCAATGAAAATCATTGGTCAGTGGCAGCCCTTCCACACACACAGCCAATAAATAAGAACATCTCCATACAGGGAAAGTTGAATGGTGGTGTTTTGTAAACTGCACACATAGTTGGGAAGAGTGAAAGCAGCTTTTGGGCAGTGTGTGTGTGTGTGTGTGTGTGTGTGTGTGTGTGGTTTAAGGGTTTGTGGACTAAGCGGTGCTTAGGGCCTCCCTCCATTCATTACAGCTCACACTGAAGCTATTGTTAATAAACACCAAACACTACAGTGCTGAGGTGTAGGGATCGCCTCACCTAATCAAAGCAATATTTGAAAAAGGAATGTATTTTGTTGTTTAGCACGTTTGTTTAGGTACTCCTCCAACATGCAAAGAAAAAGGAGAGAAACAGTACAGAAGGACATGACCAGAGTGATACCTTACCTACAAAGTGGTAGCTTTCTAATGATCTCAGGTCATACAAATGTTCTCTGGTGCTGGTAACAACCCTCTCTGATCCATTCCTGATTAGATGGGCAAGCAGTAGCAGGGACTGAGAAACAGACACACAACAGTAGTTAGAGCAAAAAGTGGTAAAGGTTTTATTCTTGAATCCTGTTGGAGTCAACATGACTTGTTTTTCTCTTGCATGGCCTTTTAACTGTATCAGTTATGGGTAAAATTTTATTCATCAGAACATTTCTCCCTCAATTCAGAGCATGTTAACAATGCAAGGCATCTAACGGTTTCTATTCAAGGCCAACAGTTTTTGTTTTGTGAGTTATAAAAAAAATATGAATTAAAACACCCCTTTTCACCCGATGCTCTTTTTTTTAAATTAAAGTTTACAGTTGATACCAGATTCCTGCCTGTAAGAAATGAGAATAAATTTTGAAGCTGATGTTAACAGATTCCTATTTTAAAAAGGGTTTCAGCTTGAGTCAGGTTAAAACCAAAGCCAAACTGGTTTGAATTAGGTCTTGTCTTAAATTTTGGGTGAAAACAAAACCGCACTTAGTGCCTGGGCCTTCAAGCCTTGTGTCATCAAGCATGTGTGTTTGTGGAATGTTGCAACAGTACTGTCGCAGACCTTGTAGACTCTCCTCCAGTTCTTCTTGTTATCCCTCAGCATGCGGGCCCACAGCATGTTCATCACCTCTGGGAACTGCTCATACATGAAGGTGGCTCTGATTACAGAAACATTCAGAGAAGAAAGAGCCTTTATTATTTATTTGCAATGCATGATAGCTAACAACTGGACTGTTTAAGACATCTACAGCCTTTGACCAAAAAACTCCCTTGTACTGCAGAGCCTCAGGAACTAAATGAGTCTACCTGAACTACAAGTTCCTTTAGCACATTTGTGTTGGTGTTTACACTGCATCCCGAGGATTAGGCAAATCAGACAAATAAGTGACATCCATTAAATGTGTCACTTTACACACAACAAGGCAACAACTCAGTGAATTTAGAGGTGGTTCAGGGTCAGTGTGGTTTGCAATTTCCTGCTGTGCAGCGTTAATATATCTGAATTAATGTAGGTGGAAAAAACACCTAAATAGCAGGTATATTTCTAAACAAGCAAGGATATTCTCAGTGTTTGTCTGGTTCCTTTTCTGCTTTAATATGTAACCACAATGAAACTACTACAAAGTTACATATGGCTGGCAGAAAAAGACTACCTTGGAAAGAGGTACTTGTGTGGGCAGAACCAAAACTTAAAATAATAATTCCTATGGTCAAAATGGAGTTGAATTTCCTGAGTTCCGAAAAACTTTCCTTGATTTTATTTACAAATAACCTTGGTGTTTTGCAGCGCTATATGTTGAACAACCCAGCGTGTTGATGTTACCTAGAGATTTCACTCATCAGCTGTCCTGATGGTCCCCAGGGATCATCATTGGTGGCCTCTCTGACTTTAGACTCCACCTCTGAATAGTTCATCACCACGTTGGTTCTATACAGTGGGATAAAAAACAAACATAATTTCATTAATCATGCCTATGTAAAGTAATCTACATGGCATTTCAATAAACGTGGCCTCCATTTAGACCAACAACGTGGGCAGTGACGGATAAAAGATATTCTCATTACAGCCATGCCCATACACTCCTTTTTATAGGCTAAAATGAATGTTTGTGTGCGTGCTTTGTAACCACTGTTCAAATCCACAAACAAGGGCCTAAACAAGCAAATGCAAATCTGCGTTCAATATAAACACAGAAATGGGACCTAAAATGGAAGTGAGTGAAACAGGGCTGTGCTCACTGTGTTGTGAGCTCTTGGTTTCTTAGTATGTCAATAACAAACTAGAAAAGAAAAAGGCAATCGTAACAAACCAACACTAGAAATGGTGGCACTCTCGGGTAAACAGAAAGTTTGTTTTCTAAATCATTGGGCTCAAATATTTTATGAAGGTATACAAAAACCAGCAGAATGAACAGTTCGTATGTACCCTGTCCTCGATGAGGTTAGCAGGTTTGGCAGGCTGTGAACATATTCAGAATCATGGTGATTACACAACAAACTAAGCCAAACCAAGTACTATCCCACATCTGTTCAATCAGGCCCCAGAAGTGTACTGCAACTTCTGTTAGTAGTCTAAAATATGTCCTCATATTCAGTGTCACAACCAGCACTTATTAAAAGACAGAAACTCAAGCTAATGTGCTGTCTGTACAGGAGGTGTGTCATGAAAGGCATTAAGAAGAACAAAGGATTATCCAAGCAGAGAACATTCTAGAAACATAAATGGTGTGTGGGGTAATTTCCATTGCACTACTGTCTATTTACATCAACTATTTTATTTGGTCTGGCTAGGATTCCTTTGAAAGAAGAGATTTTTAATCTCAACTGCACTATTTCTGATTTGTGAAAAGAGATTTGATAAATATATTATCTGATGTCTATCCAGCTGAACTGGAGAAACTGGTTATCCAGCCAATTTGTACAATGCTTGCTGCATGGGTAGCAGTGTATCGCCTTCCAATGCATTGCCCTAAGATATGTGTAGCATATAGCCACGCCTACATTAGCTATTCCATTGAATAAGAATGGTTTCTTACAGGACTGCAGAAGTATAATCTATAACAAACAGGCATCCAATTCCAGATAATTAAGTGAGCCATGTCACAGCTTTAGCCAAAAGTATGGCGAGGCAAAACATTTGACCCCTGCACCTCTCATCCCTCCCTCACTACTGACACATCAGCAATAAAATATACAGGGCCTGAAAGAGCAGCATTGATATGACAGGTGGAGATACACCCTCTCTGTGGTTCTGGCAGAGTATGGTTACCAGTCTGACTTTAATGTATGGCAACAAAATTATTTGAAAATGACCATGCCAGGTGCGTTTTTTACAGCTGATTAAAATCAGCATCCAATTTGGACTATAAGTTACAGTAACTTTATGTGCTGGCTGGGAGATCCTACACGAACATCAAGCCTTACGCTCTATCAAACTCAATTCTTATGATATTCTTCATTTTACATTCGGTTCAGTTCAGGACGAGACTTAACTTGTGTTTAGGAAAGCGGCTATCATGTTTTTCTGCAGGTTTGAGGACTTTCTAATTATTCTGTGTGTGCTGTGTTATTAACTGCATGTTTCCCAAGATGTTTTACAGACATTGCACAAATTTTCATGTTTACATGGGTGACATGCAAAACACAAGATGCAACATCTTATCTCCACACAGCGGTGGCCCCGTCATAGTTATCAACCACATAAAACGGAAGTTGTGATACTCTCTCACAGTGCCACATTATCACACAGATTTCCGTTAGACTGCTGTATCTGTCAAAAAATATTCCCTTGCAGTGTCTCACAAACCTGGCTATATATTATTCATGTTGGTTTCACTCATCACAAAACCTTTTTAAAACAGGATAAAACCTTTGTTTGTTTGTCCTGACTCAGCAAAAACCTCACCTTAAAATCATATAACAGGAATGTTGCATCATGTCACAGTGTTAGCATAAATGCCTCACAGCTTGGTGACACTTTATGAAACCATTTTTTCATTTGTGTTAATACAAACAGTGACTATTTCTGAAACTCTCAAAACTCAAGCTACATCACTTTGAATTTCAAAGAGACCAGGAGGAAAACATGCTACAAACAAACAACAACTCCCTAACATTTAATCTTTGAAACCTGCACCTTTCTTTCCTTCTTTCTCTCCCTAGTCCCCTCCCCCTTTTGTCTCGCTCCCATGAAAGTAACCCATGTTCCAGGAGGCCACACTCCTGGGAGACAGGTGCATTCAACAGGAATGCATTCTTGGATGGACTTAAGAACATGCTATTGTCTGGGTCTGCAAAATTAGCCATTGAACCTTTGAAGGGAGGAAGAATTGTGCAATAGCCTCCCACAGCCCCACAGTACAGGACAGCGTGCTTATGTTTAGTCAGCAGCTAAAAGTAAACCAGTCCAAAGCATAACAAAAGACACACAATCCCTTTTACAATTGCCCAACTATCTCTATCTTAAATCCAATTAAAACTTGGTGGAAAGGTAAACAGCAACTGATGTGTGTGGTTTAACTTAAATAATCAAATTGTTGCTCTTAGGCCAACAGCTGGACAACAAACAAGTTGCAAAACACTGCAGGATCACTGGTCACTGATTAATACGTGCTTTGTTGTGGCACTGTTATTTATCTCGTTGTTCTTTGGTGTTACCTATGATAAAAAAGGCAGCCTTACCATGTACAGTTATTTAATAAACGTTTTCTGTAAGATTGCTAAATATTGCAGATTGGAATAAAGTGTAACGTTACAGTTGCTGCAGCAGCAAAACGGCTTTTATAGCATCCTGTTTTACGAGATATAACTTCACGTTAGACATTTTGACATCTTCAGGACTTAGTTCAAGTGGTCTGACTAACTTGTTTCACTTAACAAGCAAACTAGGGTGTAAGACAAACATTACAACATTGGTTGTGAAGTGATCCAACCATGTGGTGTAACTTAATTTACAGAATAGATACCTTACTAACGTTAACTGTACTGAATACAGTAATGTTAACTCTAACGTTAACTTAGCTACAAGTGTCGTTAACAGTCATACCGGAGACTAAAGACGTCTTAAAAATGTTTCCAGACAGTGGCACACAAGCAACAGTAGGACGATATGTTCGTTAAAGTATAACGTGTTAACATTCGCCGCTGATAATTCAGCCCAGGAGCTGTCAAACTAGCATAGCTGGCTAGCCTGGTCGGCTATCTAACTACCAGCCAGCAGGCTAGATAATTAGCTAGCTTGTTAGCGAAGTGCGTTAGCTTGGACTGTCGGAAGTAATCACACAAACAAGCTTCGTGATCTCATAACAGTGCAAATGTTATCTTACACTAATCGAAAGAACTGGCAAGTTAACTGCGACAAAGAGGTACTCATACTTATAGTATGTTAATGGTATTTGTCCAATTCGGCTAACTAAATCGCTACTAGCATAGAGGCTAGCTAACTTGTTAGAGTGATGTGACGTCAAAGTTTTGGGTACGTGTCTCTTTCAAACAGGTACACTTCAGGCACAAATAATGCGAAACATACGTAATATAGTTCGGAGATACTTACGCTTTGTCAACCAACTCCCTAACCTTCCACATGTTCATCATCTTGGCTCTGTGAAAAGGGGCTTTCTGCCTCGGCAAAACCCTTAACTCCAGACGAACAACGAAACCAAACCTTGAACTCTGGAAAGTAAACTCTTCTTCACCTCCCTTTCAAGACAGGCGGCGCAAACGTACCACCAGGCAGACAGGAAAGGTTACTACGGGAAATGCCCCTGTAACGTCATCAACATTGCCTAAAGCTGCTTCGGAATTGTAGTTTTTAAAAAGTGTTCATGCACCACCATTAATACTGTGAGTGCATTAGCCTTTTTAAATGGATAAAGAAAAAGCTGTCAACTTGGTAAACAAATACAACCCTAAACAATAGCCTTTAGAAATAGAAAAATACATTTTAATCATTAAAAAAGTGAAACATTATGAGAGTCCATGACTAAACATCCAATTATAATGGGCCCTGGTTGGAAAAAGTAGTCCAACAACATGTCTCTAGGTTATGAGGCAGTCAAAATGTGGCTTTGCATAGATCGTGACTAGACAGTATGGTATTGTGGTTTATGCATGTTGGTGATGCATGATGTTACTATTTATCAGTACAGGTTGACTGATATTCAACATTATCTTATTGCAGATATATTACATTTGAAATCTATTTAAATTTCTGTCAATAAGTTACAAGAAAATGCATGAAGAAATGCTAAGGATACGTTTGAGGTAGTTTCAAAATGGTCATGACATTGCAAAATGTGAAATCAATTGATATTTCAGTGTCCTGTTTTGTAAGAAAACACAACAAAAACAAATCAATTTAAGAGACTCTTATAAAATGTGTGTTATGTGTTTATATAGAAAATTAATATCAGTTCACATATTGTTATGAAATATTTTTAAACTCTCAAATATAAATTTTTGTATCTGCCTTAAAAATCTAGTATTGCCTGAAATATTATCCAGAACAGACAGTTTTCTAATGTTTTATTCTCAATTTATTATTTATTTCCATTATGTAGTGACATTCTTTGGCTTCCACTGCACACTGCTAATTGTGCTGTATAGCAAAAACCTGTCCTTTTTGTCCAAATGTGTTCCAGCTTCCCCCAGAACAGTAGCCAGCATCAGGTCACCACCCTGTGTGTTCTCCATCCCTCCTCATCTGGCATTCAGGCATGCTACAATGACCCAGTGATGCTGTGTGACAGGCCACGCAGGGCACTGGCTGTTTGTGTCAATCCAGATCAATCACTCCCTCTTCTGGACGGACAACGTCATCAACGCACAGAAAGGTCATAGGGTGTACCCAAGCCAGGGCTGATGTGGCGAGCAGGGAGGTCAGCATGGCAAGTGAACACCCTTGGCTGAGTGCCATCTTAAATAGACACAGTAAGCTTATGAGTAAGAAAAAATGGTATTTCATATTTACTTTTTGTAGAGGACGAGTTAAATGACTGGCAGTCGTCATTTCTTACTTCTCGATAAAATGATTTTGATTCTCTTGTGACTGGGCGTGTATGAAAAGTATTAAGTCTCTTTGTCGTATTGATTGATATTCCAGTGGGCAAGATGAGCCCTCAGATGCCCTCCATCTGACAGGGTCTCTATTCTCTAATGATACGTGTAAATATGGCCCACAGCTTACGCTTCTATAGGAGAGCAGGAGGAAACAACACAATAGCCAAAATACAACCCATTTGAGAAAAAAACAACAAGAAACAGCACTTAACGGCCCAGAATGCACCGCACCCAAGGGAGCAACCTCAATTACTGTTACACGTCTGAAGAGGAGAACTCTAGGAGAAGTGATTGCTGAGATGGAAATGGCTGTGGGTGTGTGTTTGTGCATGTGTGAGTGTGTTGTTGTGTGTGGGTTTGAGGAGGTTGGACAGAAAGGCACTCAGTAAAAAGATCTTTCAGAAACACTTTGCCCCAGTGACGTTGACGCGAGCTGTTGATTGACATGCACTTCTCGACAGAAACCAGAGCTATCAACCTATCTGCCACGCATTAAGAATGGCACGCTCCTCGGGGAGGGGCCTAAGTGGTAAATGATGTAGCGCAAGACACTCTCTGTCAACAATGTGTGTGTATTTGTGAGTGCTGAGGATGGCAAAGTATTCAATCAAGGCTTTGATTGAAAAGCCCCTGTGTCCTTAAAGATCAGAATTCTGCACACTGATGTATAGGATGGGGTGAGTCTTTGTGTTAAATACAGTATAGTGCTGTGTGGTGTAGGGGGAACACCGAGCTGGCAGAAGGCTTAATGGTAGAAATCTGATCTCAAACAATATTTATGCAGTTAAAATTGTGCTGTCAAGTGCGCTTTGGAGTTGTTTTTTTGGAGAGTTTTCATTTTCAGAAAGAAATTGGCAAATCATTGTCTATAAGAAATCTTGTACAGTCATATGCTCTCTTTGGATATGGAAAAAAAAAAACCTGTCAGCCTGTCCTTGATATTTCTTATTTTATAACCACATTCCATTCATCCTCCTGCTCTTTGGTTGATCATCAGTTTGGTCTGGTTAGACTAAGTTGTCACTAACAACTTTTGAGTTGAAGGAGATGAAAAAGTAAGCCAGATGAATGATGTAATTTTAACACAAGCAGCACTAGGGGGCACTCTGACTTTTCTTGTGCTGGAGACTGCTGAGCATTGCACATGGGTGAGTGCGTTCAGTGCCTGTGCACACGTGAGCGTGTGCGTGTCTGTCAGTGTAACCACTGGGGGTCGAGGCTGTGTGTATACATGGCTGAAGTTCCCATGACAAATGTGGTCAGAACATCATCTCGACTTGGGAATGTCCACAAGAAAGACGCCCGTTCTACAACTCCGCTATTATTCTTTCTCTACAAACATGTGCTTTCAATCTCAACACTCTGTGCTTTTTTTTCTTGCAGTTTTACAATGTCATTAGAAAACAATGTTCTTTGTTTTGCACATCTTTGCCTATCTTTGTGCCCGCAGAAGAGGTTCTGATCTGTGGAGTCATTCGCTGGGGCCCAGCTTTCCTCCTGTCAGTGAGGGTTCTTTCGCTGCTGTTATATTTCAGGCTGTTATTGTTGGCCCTCTTGCAGCCTTGGTAAGATCTTTAGTCCTTTTCCCAAGCGATATAACCCCCACACACATCACACGATATCTGACCCCTGTCTCCATGACACATGACAGGTCCACTGTGGTGCTTGTGTGTGGGCATGTAAGCAAGAACTGATGTGTGCACATTTATGTGTGTGTGTGCGCATGTAAATGTGCAGTAAATATATCTGTGTGTACCGAGCATATCTGGCACAGTATGTAGATATTGAATATGCTAAACAATGAGGCTACTTGTCAAAGTTGCACAGACAACCCGCTGTGATCTCATACCACACACACAGATGTTCCTAATGGGACTAAAGTAGCATTCACATTCCTGTGGATGACCGGTCTGTTTATTTTTCTCTCTAAACCGGCCTGGATTGCCACTTTCCCTGGTGAGAAAAGGGGTGGAAGATGATAAAAAAAAAAATACAAGGAGGCTGATGAGAGAGGCTCCCACCACAGTGTTGACCTCCAAAGCCAACTGTCAGGCCGACTGAACCAGCAAATATCAGCAAGTGTGACAGTCGTTCGGTATATGGAAGGGGATGCCCGTGTGCAATACTTTGCGAGTTGAAACTGTTGTTGTCTTATTATTCCCCTACACGAGGAAATGAACTTGGTGTAATTGTGAAGGCTTATGTTTATGAGTCACGATGTAAATCCTGTTGCTTTGTACAGGGGTGCGAAAACTTTACACACACACACACAGAGAAACCCACACAGGTATGCTCAAGTCCTGAGAGCATCTGCTCCTTTACAACCAGATTGAATTAGCAATTACAGAGAGTAAAAACGAGAACAAAACATCTGGAGCTGTAAGCAGCACAGGTTATAAATCTGAGGGGGTGAAAATGAGCCAATGTGAGATTCTCAAGGACAGTGTCTCTGATTGGCCCATTAACATGCCAGGGGTGTCAAAAAGGACCCAAGGCAATGGGAGAAATGGGACAGAGCAGAGGGCTTTAGAGGGCATATGGAACGCCAGTGAATGGAGAGGTAGAGCGTACGGGGAGAGCACAGGAGAGGGCTAGTGAGATTCTGTATGGGAGTGAAATGCAGTACTGGCAAAGATAATACAACTGAGAAGACACATCAATGTTGTTTGTGTCATGAACCTCCTCACAGGAAACCATCCTGATAAGCGGAGAGAAAGCTGTGGAAAAGCTGAGGGGAAGTTGTGTAAAAAAAACGGCTATCTTTTGTTTTTTCAATTTTTTGGGGAAAAAAGACCTAGAGCTGTGTGGGTGCACGAATTAAGAACCAGCAGCTGAAGATCGCCACTTTGCCAAACCATAATTATGCATATTTGGACACAGAAAATGCTCCAAGTAAACGTGAGGCTGGGTGTTCATAAATGTATTTTAACAATTATATCCAGTTTGGTTTAAGTCCATATAAATGTGAGGTTGGAAAGCCGCAGTACCATTACCACATCTGTTTTTGCTATTATTGGCACAATAAATTACGTAGGCAATTTGTTTGCGCTGTTGTTAGAGTAATAGAATCAAATTATCCCATGTTAGGGAAATGATTATGTACCAAGCGGAACCCATCAGGGATTCACAAGGCAATCAGTGAAGTAAGACAGAGCTGAAATGTTGGCGCTCTGCACATCAACTGTTCCAGGTCCACTACGTCATTTGAAAGAACTTCTCAACCTCAGATAGGAGATAATTGTACCTGGTTCAGACAGAAGTAGACTGTTTCACCCACTAATTTGGCAATGCTAAGAGTGCTAAGTCAGTGCAGAGCCACAGTGCCTGTTGTAGTACAACTCCAGTACAACATGAATCCAGTGGAGCTGAAAAGCACAGAGGGAGATATGAGGGCGGTCATAACTGAAAGAGCCTGACACAAGCGAAATGAGAAGTCTTCAGAATGAAGGACAATATCAAATGAGTCTTATCAATTAAAAAGTCATGGAACGGTGTTTACATTCCCACTCCAAGGCCAGACACCGGGTGGATGTTTCAAACAGGTCAAGGTTGAAGCGAAAACAAAAGTTAGTCGATTAGTAGTCGAGGTGCAACATTCCTACTTTATATGCTAATCTGGCAGATCATCATATCGTGTAGGCACTGCTTGCGATTCTACATCTGCACG